TATACAAAAAAATTGTGAATCACACATATAAAAAATATAATAAATATTCCATATAATAAATATTTCTGTATATGACCATATTTATCTATATCAACCTAAGGTCATCCTGATGTCTTTGACTCTAATCCATTACTAAATGCATTATTTCAGTCTTCTCCCTTAAGATAGAATACACACTTAAGATTCATCTATGTATTTCTGTGTCTTAGCAGCTCATTTTGTTTTTATCATTAAATGAGATTCCATTGTCTAACGTATCATAGTTTGTTTATCCATTTACTTACAAAGGACATCTGGATCACTCTCAGCTTTTGACAATTAAGAATCAAGCTGCTATAAACATTCATGTGCAAGTTTTTAATTGGGAACATAAATTTTCAGATCAGTTTGGTATATACTTAGGAGCATGTTCAATGGGTCATAGCGTAAGGCGGTGTTCAGCATTATAGGAAACTGCTGTCTTCCAAAGTGGTTGTAGCATTTTGTATCTGAATCAGCAATTAATGAAAGTCTCTGTTATTCTAAATGTTTGCCAATATTTGGTAATGCCAGCCTTTGAATTTTGTGGTTATCAGCTTTTTTTTTTTATAGCCATTCTAATAGGTATGTAGTGGTATCTCACTGTAACTTCAACTTTCAATTCTTTAATGAAAAATGATATTGTTTTGCCAATTTTTCCCTTTATATATTCTCTGATGAAGAGTGTGTCCACATCTTTTGTTCATTTTTCCTTAAATTGCACTGGCTGCTTTACATTAAGTTTTGAGTTGTTTGTATATTTTGGATACAAGTCCTTTATTAGACACGTGTTTTGTAAATATTTTCTCCCAGTCTATGGCTTGTCTTCATTCTCCTAACAGCTCCTTTCACAGAGCAGAAGTTTGTTTTGTTTCTTAATAAATTTCAATTTTAGCATTTTTTTCATGGCTCTTGCTCTATGTGTGGATCCTAAAAACTCATTGCCAAACCCAAGAATATGCAGATTTTTTTCTTATGTATTATTATAGAAGTTTTATCATTTTTCATTTACATTTAGTTTTATGATACATTTAAATTAAATTTTGTGAAAGGCATAAAGTCTGTATGTATCTAGTTGAAAATTCTATCTTTTGTTAATTTCTCTTTCTCCTTCATCAGAGATCATTTGACTCTAAGTATGTGGGTCTTTTTCTGGTCTATCTAGTTTGTCCCACTAATTTATCTCTCTGTCTATTCTTCTTTCTTTCTTTTTTTATTTTTTTAATTTTTATTTTAGCATATTATGGGGGTACAAATGTTAAGGTTACATATATTGCCTTTGTCCTCCCAACCTCCTCGAGTAAGAGTTCAAGCGTGGCCATCCCCCAGTTGGTGGGCATCACACTCATTATTTCAATACAGCATTGTCTTCATTACTGTAGCTTTGTAGTAAGTCTTTACATGAGATATTATTAGTGTTTCAATTGTAGTCTTATTTATGATTCTGTTAGTTATTCTAAGTCTTTTGTTTTATCATGTAAATTTTAGAAACAACTTGCAAATATCTACCAAATAACTTCTTTGGATTTTGATTGGGATCATGTTGAATCTATAGATTAATTGGGATGAATTGACACCTTAATAATAGTGACTCTTTCCATTTATGGCCATGGAATATCTCTCCATTTATTTAGATATTTTTGTTTTCATTACATTTCTGTCATTTTCTACTTATGGAGCCTATGTATTTTCTTAGATTTATGGAACCTATGTATTTTCTTAGATTTATGGCTAAGTATTTCATATTTTGATGTGATTGCTAATCATATACATTTTTTATTTCACATCCTGATCATATATTGTTGGTATGTAAGAAAGACAATAAGTTTTGAATATTAATCTTGCATCCTGTAACCTTGCTTTACTTGTTTATTAGTCTTCTGTATGCATGTTGATAGCAATTACAAGATTTGCTGATGAATCAGTTGTTGTGAGACAAAGAGGAGTCAAAACTTTTAACCTGGGTAAATACAGTTAGTGGTTATCAGCATGGAAAAAAAGCCAGAAGGGGAGGCTTAGGGAGTTTGATTTCAGAAATCCAATATTGAGATATCAAATATTCATTCAAGTGGAAATGTTAAGCAGCCAGTTGAATACACAAGTGTGGAGTTCATGAAAGAAATCTGGTCTGCAGACAGACATTTGTATTGATTATCATGCATACATATATTTAAGCCTATGGGACTAAATGAGAAAACTAGGGTAATAAGGGTAGTTAGGAAAAAATATGTTCATGGATTGAGACCTAGAACATGTCAAAATGTAACGGTCTAGAAGATGAGAAGGAATCAGCAGACAGGCTGAGAATGAGTTTCCAAATATGTAAATGCAGAATCAAAAGAGAGGAGGATCCTCAAGATCAAGTGAAGAGAATAATTCAGTAAAATGCAGTGACCAGCTACATCTAGCACAACTGATAAGGTATTTAGGCTCAGAGAAAGGACCATTGAGTTTGGCAACATTGGTGACCTTAATGAGAGCTATTTCACTGAAGCACTAGGGACAAAAAAAAGGGGAAGCTGTAGAATGTTCACGAAAAAGCAAAAGGGTACAAAATGGATGCAATTTGCATTAATGACACATTAAGAAAACTTTATTATCAAGGAAAGCAGAGCTGTGTAGGATAGATGAATGGTGTCTAAAGGGGGAAGATATTTGGCATATGTACATTGATGGAGATAGTCTAGTGATTTGATGACACAGGAGAAAAAAGGGGATGCTCAGGAGCATTTTTGCAAAACTGAGAAGGAATCAGATTGGTACATGACTAGAGGTAATGGCAACATGGAGCCCCGTGTGAGTTCATGTAACAATAGGAAATGCGGAATATATGTGTAGAGATGCAGGGCAGTAGGTAGAGGTTGTTTATGGTCTATGTGAATAATGAATATTAAATATAAATGCAAATGACTTCATATACACAGTCGTAATATCATTTCCCCCCCCCAAAATGAAAATGAAATCAAAATTCTATTTTATGCTGACAATAGAATTACACAACAGTGCCTCTGTTCTTAACATGTAACTTCACAGTCATAATGTATTATCTAAACACTTAGAAATAAGCCATCAATGAGGAAATATATTTGCTACCAGGTCATAGTTCAACATATATGAAATCTACACAAATTGATTTTTAAAAGCTCTAAAAGAACACATATACACATAGAAAAAAAGAACTGTCTTTAGCTAATAAAAATATGAAAAAAAATTTATCATACCAATACTCAAGAAAATGAGAATTAAAAACAATGCAAAAGATGAATTAATAAGCAAAATTTAATTCACAAGTTCAGGGCTTATTAAATGGTCATTTAACAACACTAACTTTTTGAGAATTTAATTTAGAAGTAAATATCAAAAGGGTAGAAACAAATGTTAGATACAATTTTAATTAAAGTAGTAGGATGTAGATTTAGTGCAAAGCATTTTCTCAGTATAGTTACTAGCTGAAATGAAATATCATCAAATTGTGAGCTATTATTGGTAGATGATAGGATGAGTGACTATTTTTGTCTCATTTTCTGATTTTTTTCAGATTTTTATAAAACTAGCGTATTTTTAATGATCAGAAAATACGTTAAATAAACATAGGTATATGAGCAACTTTAGCCATTTAAATAATATAGTATTACAAATCTGCATATGAATCTCTAATGACAGGAGAATGGTCCACTATGGTTTGAACACTCCATGTTTTATAGTGCATCACAGGTATTATTTTAAAAGAGAGAAATACTCAAAGTATAATTCTAAGAAATAAAAGTACATGCTACTGTAGATTACTCTGCTCACATTCATGTCTCTGCTGAAGAAAGAGAGCAAAAGAAAGTGAATGTGAGAGAAAGAGAGAGAGAGATTTAATAAAGATAGTTACCTTGTCTATGTTGTGTATTCTGTAGGCTCAGAGCCTAGGTCAATATCTGGTATGAAGTAGATGCCCAAAATCTATTTGTGGAAAGAATGCATTCAGGAAAGATTGCTACATCAAGTCTCAAAGTAATATACTAAAATATAATATACTAAAGTTGACTTTAAGTAATGGAATTATAAGTGACTTTTTTTAAAAAATGTTTTATTTTACATTTGTATATTATCTAAAGTTCTTATAATAAATATGTAACTGGTTTCTTATCATGGTCTAAACTACCTCAAAGAGAACATCAAACACATGTCAAAGTAACCTCAGGCATGTTTTTAAAAAATAGATTAAAAATAACACTTTCCTTTTTATCAAAAAAATTCATTTTTTTTGGAATTCACAGAAAAATGTCTGCTTTGATTAAAATTAAACACAAAGTATCTCTAGTTCTATAGCAACTTTTTATACAATGTAACTACAAAAATCTCTGCTGATGGCTAATTATTGTCAGAGTTGAAATTAGTATTCCAGCCACCAACTCTTAGTAAGAGACCTTAGTGTGACAGAAAGAAACACCAGATGTTCAGATGGCTGCAATTTTGTCCTCAGCAAAGGTTATAATCAGGTTCATAATATAAGGCTCGATGAAGAAGCAGCATACTATAGAAGAAAAGTACATTGGGCAAAAACTCATTAAAAATGAACTCAAAATTAGTCTCCATCACTTAGTAATTATGAGTTTGATTCATTCTTAACTGTTGTAAGCCTCAATTGCTTCAACTATATAATAGAGATCATAATAACTGGCTTACTTGCTCATTTCAAGTATAGTTTAGTGTATTTGTCAGATTTCAGAGAATTTTCCTTGTGGTTGTTTTTTTTGTTTTTTGGTTTTTTTTTTCAGTAAATTGGTCTCTTATTTTCCCTCCCCTACCCATCAAATCATATGTCCTCAAAGCTCTTTTCCTTCAATGAAAATATTAATCATGTTGGAGCAAGTGGCAAACTTTTATACACATACCTACCACTAGAAAATTACTTGGGGAAATGTTTTTACAGATTGTTTTACTTAAAATACAGATTTTTATTGTATTTGTTACAATAGCACCAAATAAAAAGTGTGATTTTCTTCACATTGTTTACATAATTTTACTTTGAGGCTGATGCAGCTAAAAATAGTGAAAGATTATAGATCTTGCCATTTCCTCGGGGCCGGAGTAGGAGGTTCCTGTAGGCTGTAGATTCTGCAGCTTCTGAGTCAGCCACCCCTTCAGCCAAAGTTTCCTCCGGATATTAGGCAGTATGCCCACATTCCTCAAAGAGACTTCCAAAACTAGGTCTCTTCCCTGCTGATCCTCCATCACACCATCTTCCCAGCAAAGCCTGAACTTTCATGAGTCTACCTGCATCCCTCTTCATTTTCCCTTCTACTGGTCCTTTGTAACTACTTCTTCACAGTCAGTAGAGTTATCCTTATCCTCTCTGAAGGATTTCTTCCCCTTCCTACTATAACTGAAACCAGACCACTCACTGAGAGCACCAGTTTGCTGCCATCTCAATTGGTGTTTGTCTCTCTCTCGAGCCAGAAACCTACAAATTGAAAAGAATAAGTATAAGCCTTGTCCCTTCAAGAGTAATATTTCTTGACATTCTTTCAAATATTTCTTTAAAAATTTCTAATTTTTGAAAAAAAAATCTCACATCTTATGCCATATTCTTCCCAGCTCTTAATTCTATGTTCCTTCTCCTTTAAATACCAATTCCTCAAGGATTTTGCATGTATATTGATGCCTTTTCCCCACTACCCACAATAACACACCAACATGACTACCACCAATATCACTTGTTAAAATAATTCTTGATAAAGTTACAAAGGCTTATGTACCTTTGAGTCCAACTGACATTTTAAACTCTTCCACTTACTTGATTACTCAGAGGCATTCAACACTCATACCTACACTCAACTTCTTATAATTCTCCTGTGTTTTCTTTCTCAATGTCCCCACAGTCTCTTGATTTTCCTACTACACCTTTTATCTTTTCTTATTACTTGCTAGCTAATTTCTCTTCATTGATTATTACTTGTTGAATTTATCCATGACTCAAGGCAGAGATTTCTCCTTTTATCTTCTATACACTTCCCCTTGGATCTCATTTGTTCCTGTGGCTATAATTCTCCACAGAAGTATCTCAAATACATATTGCTAGTCCACAAATAGTAAGTACTTTAAGAAGATGAAAAAGTGGGAAGTCAGGACAGATCTTTGGGGAAGGCTTCTCCAAGAAGCTGCCACTTGAATTGAAACTGGGATCCCGAAAAAGGGAAGCTGTGGGAGAAGAAGGCTCTGAACAGGAAGAGCATCAATTATAAAGTCAGTGTGGAGGGTGCTGAGTAAGCCCAGAAGGATAAGCAGACACTGCACATGGTAGGGCTTTGAAAGTCGCAGAGAGAGTTTTGGTTATATACTTGTGATGAGAAGACAGTGGAGAAATTTAAGCAGGGGAGAGACAATATTTGATTGAGGTCTTAAAAAAATCCATCTGGCTGCTGTGTGGAGTAGGTGGATAGGTTCAAGAGAAAAATACCGCAAAGTCAATTTGCAAGATTATATAGATCCAGGTTAGACGATGATGGTGACAAGAACAAAGAACGTAGCAGAGAAAAGGATGAGAAATCGTTATTTTCTAATGTGTGTATATATGTACATATACACATATATAATTGTATAATACATATTTTGGAGAGTTCATAGATTTTTGTTGAATTAGATATTGTATATGTACTCTCAGGAGGAGAAAGGAATTAAAAATGTCTCCTATAGTTTTGTCTTTAAAATATAAGAGGATTTTGGTGCTATTTAATAAAACGAGAACATTTTTGAAGAGAGAATGGAGAAAGGAAATCAGTGGTTTGGTTCTATCCTATATTGCATTGAGAGGCTATAATATATCTGAGTGAAGATTTTATGTAAGCAGTTGGATTTGTGAGTCCAAGGCTCAGAAAAGATAACTGGATTGAGATAAAATTAGATATTAATATAGGATAATGACCAACGTGGTGATAATATTTTAATCCAATGCCAAAATGTGTTCATATAGGAGAACTGAGGTGGAAAGAAAGTAGAAGAGGTTGAGAATAGAACCTTAGAGTTATCCAATATTTAGAGTTCTCATAAAGCACAAAGGAGACAAAGAAAAGAGGCTAGTGAGGTACAAGTAAAATAAAATGCACTGGAGCCCATGGAAGCACAGAAAAGAAACTCCTATTTAGGGAGTCTGTGATAAACTTCACATGTTATTGAAGTTCATCAGATTAAGATGAACACACAATGACAGATTTCTGATCGTTGTTTTATACTTTAGTGCTAGCCTTGATTAGAACTCCTGGTAAGGATGAAAGCCAGATTGGACTGGATGAAGAAAATCTAGAAGTGTGGAAAGAGAGACATCAATAGACAACTTTTTCTAGGACTTTTAGCCTTATGAGAAGGAGAGAAATGTAGGGGGAGTAACTGAAGAAAAATGATAGCTCAAAGAAATTGTTTTAAAGATATTTATATTATAGCATGTTCTTATGTTGATTAGAGTGATCCAATAGGGACTAAATAAGATCGATGCAGAAGGCAAAATCCAAACCTTAGGGAATGTGATAATGAATGGAATCTAATTCATAAGTAGATTGGCCTTACATAGAAGGGAGAAATCTTCCACTGTTATGTCAATCTCGACAAAGAATATCTTGTTACAGATGCAGGTAGGTTGATGGAGTTGGTGGTAGGAAGATGAGATCCTCCTTAACTGATTTTAGTTACTTTTTAGTGAAATGTGAAAAAAAGGCAACACTTTAACTTGAGAAATGTGGAGATATTTAGGAAACTTGAGAAAAGAAGATATGGTATGAAATAGTCATTTCAGAGAATAGGAAAATGAATGTACCAGGAAAGCAAAGTAAAATATTCTATCTTTGTTGAGTATCCATTTTTAATTTATTTTTATAAATTTTAAATGAGTCCAGTGAGCTGAGTTAGAGGGTATATTTCTGTTAAAGATCGGCTGTTTCATTTCAATTATAATGTAGATATTTGGGTTTAGCAAAAGTTTCACCAGGTGTAAATAATAGAAGGAAAGAAGAATAAGAGACTTGTTCATGGAATTATTATAATGCTGGATCACAGAGTCTCATCTCATCTGGATAAAGGATATGAAATCATAAGGGACTGAATCCTAATTTTACAGAAAAAATCATTTTAATAAAATTCAGATTCGGTCAAACAGCTGTACTTAAGGACCTAGAAGGCCACATGTGGCCGTAAGGCTGCAGGTTCCTCACCCCTGAGAGTAGACAGCTATAGCAGCTTTTCTTTTGTGGTGGCAGACCAATGAAGAGAGAGGGCCAGTGCTGTACCATCATCACAGCATCAACTTCAAAACCAGCCTTATTTGCTTTTACTCTTTCTCCTCCCAAATTAGCCCCAATCATTGTGGTAAATGATTTGAGATGTTTGACAAGCAAACCCGAACATGCCCATCCCATACCCTCAAGCTTAAAATCCATTAATACTTCCTATTGTTCTTGAATACAGAGCACAATTCTTAAAATGGCCTATAACGGAATTTCTAGGCCTTCACCTACCTTGCCAGCCTCATCTCTACCAAGTTCCCCTTCCTGACTTTGCCCCAGGCCCTCTGGCCTTCTTTCCCTACCTCCATGGTGTGTGGTGCTCTTTGCCTACAGGCCAGCATCCCCACTCTTCCATTGGCCCACTCCCTGCCTCCTTCCGAAGTCCACTCAGCCAGTATTTCCTTGGAAAAGCCTTCTCTGACCTTCCAAGCTTCCACAATGCCAATGATCCCACCTCCAGTTCGGAAGTGCAAATTAAACAATGGAAATCATGTACCATACTTTAGGAATTTAAAATATCAAAATTTCCCAGTTTAGTGAGGATAGGGGAAAATATGAACTGATTAAAGCACATGCAATTTACTTTTTAGGTTTTATATACCATTGAGTGGAAAAGGTATAAAACATATATATGCGTGAGGCAAATTTTATAATAAGAGTAGTACTAATAAAAGCATAATTCTGATATATATTACTGGAAAATAAAATACATATATGCATATATCTGAAAGGCTAAGAACCACCATTTTAATGGTGTCTTTGATTCAGTGATAGTATAACACATACTCAGAAAATAGATACCTTAATGTTATTCTATATTGAGGCAATACAATTCATTCTTAAACTGATTTCAGAATTCACCAAAATGTTTAAAGTAAATATTTCTGTGGATTATGTTTGGATAAAGAAACTTCAAATTAGTTTCTAGAAAATGAATTGTATGCGTAGAGTAGAATTAGAACGCAAACTCTCACTAAAAGCCTAGACCTATTTTCTGGAAATTTCCGTTGACTACAGCTAATGCGGCCACTTACTCTAATGCTATGTTGGGTTGTACTTTGCTACCATTCAGTTGTTTTTATCTGGCATATCATGTGTACTTACCCTCTCAGAGCTGGCTTATTCCAGGAAATTGCCTGTCAGACTTCCAAACATCTACTGTTCTGGGGGTAATCTGGTTTTTTTCTATATTATTTGGTGAATACAACAAAGAGATTTGTGCTTTGAAGAGGAAAACTGAATAATATTCTAAATAAAATGTCAGTCTTTATTTTTAAAATAAAGAAGAGATGGGTCAGATTAAGCCCTGATTAGAGATGTTAACATATAAACACACAAAAAAAATTAGAAATCTAGAATAAATGCATATTTTGTGTTTTAATCTTTACCTAGAAGAATATTTGATAAAAGTATAATCCTTTTTAAATAGGAAAAAACTAAAATAAGGTCAAGAAAAGAAAAAAAAACAGATTTGGCTTTTTTTGTATTCTATTTTGGATCTTAATCACAAGCAGTTATTTTTCTAAACTTGGGTGTGAAGACTAGAGAGGAGGGACCATAATGTATAATAGAAAGCCTTGGGCTTTATCATTAATCACATTGGGGTCAGATTCTTATTTTGTGTAATCTCAGGCAGATTACTTCCTATCTCTAAATCTCTGCTTCCCCTGCATATAAAATGGAGATAATGAATACACTTGCTTTTATGCTTCCTAGGATTGAGTCCATTGTAAAATGTGCTAATGCATGTGGAAATTCTTTATAAATTATCATGCAAAGTATAATCATATTATCATTGTGTTAATTCTGGGTTTGGATGGGATCCTTCAATTCTTTGCAAATACCAATGCCACTAAAATTTATGAACAATATCATTAAGCTTTATTCATTGCTTTGTGGAACAGGAAATGGAAAGAACACAGGGCACACTTTACTAGATAACATTTTATTAGAATTGTCCCCAGTGGCATTTCTGATTGTCAGGGGCTATAGCACCACTGTGCTGTGAATGAAAGAACAGAAGCCTGCGTAATGTAGCCTCAGTCTCTGAGGTGTATCCCTTCTGATTAGGATAAGATAAAATAAAAAGTGATATTCAAAGTATATTTGCAAAAGAGAAAACATACAAGATATTTAGTGTTAATCTTTTGTGGAAAGTTTCATGTTTTTAGTTTGTATAAAATATAGT